GGGGCGGGGGGTGAGGCCGCGCTCGGTGGCCCCTGCAGTCCGGCCGCTCTGAGTGCAGAACTTGGAAGTCAACGGGCTCATTGAGGAGAGGCCAGCCTCCCTTTGCTTAGTCCACTGTCCGCTCTGCTCTCAGCAGGGACCTTGCCAAAGCCCAGACTTTGTCACTCCTGCTCAAAAATATTTATGGCGTCCTGTCATCTACAGGATGAGGTCCAAAGTCGTGGGGTTGAGGCAGAGGTGTGGTGTGGTCGAGCACAGAGCGAGAGCCAGTCAGACCTGAGTTTGAGTTTGAACCTGAAGTCTGCTGGGTGACTGAACAAATTGCTCTGCCTCTCTGAATCTCTGCTTTCCGATCAGTAAGCAGAGACCCGATACCTACCCTTGAAGTTTGTTGAGATGATCAGGAGACCCCTGTAAACTGAGAAGTACCCCATTTACTCACACCCTCGAGATGATAAGTCCCTGATGTCTGCTGGGTGGTAACTGTTATCTACCATCAAGGTAATCTAGTCTCTCCCTGTCTTTCTAGTCTTACCTCTTGCCGCATCATCCTAGTCCAGCACAATTCCTGGACCTCAATTCTCTGTCATACCTCCATGTTGTTTCTTTTTATCATTCCCACCCTTTCTTGTCCACCTGACACAATTTTAATTCCACAGGGCGTCTTTGACACTCACCCCTCTCTTCCCGGGCACAATTCCCACATTCATGGAGATCATGCTTCTAGGTTCTCTAGCATAGTTTCAGTCTCAAGTACTGTGTGGTATTGTCAAGACTCTATTAACTTCTTGTTTGTTATCCTGAAAATATGGTCTTCAATTTTTAATATTTGTACTGCTGTGACACGGCTGACTTAATGGATGAGTCATTGAATGAATAAGGAACCGTCTTATTTTGCCTCTACCTGTTGATCTTGCCAGCACCTAGCCCCTCCATCCTGAACTTAGGAACCATCCTAAGACATGAAGCCTGTTTTAGTGAAGTCGTGTCTGCATGTGCACGCATGTACACTGCCCTTTGAGTCTGTAAGTGTGGCCCTGTTTGAGCTCACCGGCTTGCCCCCTTTTCTAAAATATATGTCGGTGAACTCCCTTTTCCGTTCCCTTGGGGGCACCAGAGCAACATGTTCCGCTCTGCCCCAGCTTCCTCACCCTGCCACGTCACCCAGTTGGGCTATGCCGGAATGTAACTGGTAAAGAGCGATTCCGTGACTCAGAGAACACCCCAAGGACTGAGTGGGAGTGGGGGCAGAGACAAGGTTTGGGGGGAACAATGGGAAATTCCTTCTGCCCCATTTAAAAATTTTATCATTATCCATTCATATTCAGGCAACATTCATCTACTACGCACATATTGGGCACCTACTGTCTACCAGGCACTATTCTAGATGCTTGAGATATAAAAATGGATAAGAGGTAATCTTTGCCCTGAAATATCAGTCTTATGAGGGAAGCAAACAAATATGCGGACGTAACACAAAGCGGCAGGTGTATTAGCAGCCATTTTCCGGTACATAAAGGAGAACTAAAGACTCCTAAGAAGTTACAAAACGGGAATCTCTTCTCTCTGGAGTATTGAAATTCATAGATCCAATACCAAAGAAGATCGTCTGTTTGACCTACTGCTTGGTAAGTCAGGGTTTTACTGGTCTAGTTCCAACTTTTAAATCAGAAACAGGTTTACCTCTGCACCACATGATTTCTACAGTAACTCAGGAAATGTCGCAACTCCATGCCATTCTACAGAAGGAGGGTCATCTATTTAACAAATATTTGGTGACTATCCAGGAGCCAAATCCTGTGCTCGACAGTTGACCCGACCTGTTTAATTTTGTTCCTATAACCTGGAGTGAGGGTTATAGGTGGAAGCAGTCATAAATTACTTCAGTGATACACAATTTACTGTGGAATTATGTGTAGCAACCCACGCTTTTGAGGTTTATCTACCTTCAGCACTCAAGGGAGAATGAATATCCCAGCAGGCGGCAGCAGGGGAAACGGGTATTTCAGATCGCGATGGGGGTAGGAGGCAAAGGTCAAGCGCGGACATAGTCTGTGGGCGATCAGGCGCCAGGTGAGTCCACCTCCCGGGACCCAGGGACCCAGACTGCATCCACATAGAGGCTACTCAGGCCATCTTGGGGGCTAAACTCGTGTTCCCCCCACTCCTTCTCATTTGTTAACTGCACAAGTGACCGCCGGTCAGGTCTTCGGATGCCCACCAGAGCTCACAATCTGCAGGGTACTTCGTTAGGACTGGGCCGGCTTAGCACGGAGCTAACTGGAACGGGGCCGTCCCCGAGTGTCCCTGCCCTTGGGTCACAGGCAACCGGCCGCGGCTCAGCGGAGGGCTGCGTGCGGGCTGGTCTCCTCCCGCGGCCCCTCTGGCCGCGCGCCCGCTCGTCTCAGGCGCGGACTGGACTGCGTGGCTGTGCCCGCGTAGCGCCTGCGGCCAGGCGAGTGCCAGCTTGGCTCGCCATTCCGAGGAAGGCGAGGCTGGCGCGCCCGGGCCGGCAGTAAACAAGGCGTTAGCACCGGAAAGAATCCTGCGGCAGGTGCTGCCTCGCGCCGCGCCTCAGCCCGGCGCTGGGGCCGGGAGGCGCCCGGGGCTGGGCACC